ATTTTATCTAGAATAAAAATTCGAAAGATATTGCTTCCATGAGAGAATACAACACAACCGACAACTCATTATGCAAGCTCTAAATAAGAACACAACAAACTTTTCAAACTATTCTAAGATATCTGAGTCATTGAAAGAAGGAAACTTAAAACTGACATTAAACCCTTTAACAGATGAGTTTCTATTTCAAGACAAGAAGAACAATACTGTCTGTATAAATCCAACAAAAGGAACTTTAAACGAGAAACCTATAAATGAACTTCTTTTGAAAGCAGATGTTGACAACAAAGCTGACAAAGAATATGTAGACGATGCAATAGCAAAAGAAGAAGAAAGAGCTAACAATGCTTATGCAACAAAAAGAACATACTCATCCTGAACTAGCAGACAAAACATATGTTGACAATAAAATGTCAAGTGAAGTGACAAGAGCTGAAAACGAATATTCTAAAAAGACTCATATACATTCTATATCTGAAATAACAGACTTAAACGTTAGCCTTGAAAAGAAAGCGATAAGGATTGTGTGGCTAGTAGGTTAGAGAAGAAAGCAGATAAGGAATATGTGGATGAAAAAGATAATGAAATTATAGAAAGGGCTGAATGGTATCATGAATGGACATCGAAGATTTTAAAAACTAAAGCTGATACAGGATGGGTTTCAGGATGTTTAGACCTTAAAGCAGATAAAACTTATGTTAACGATGAGTTAGAGAAGAAAGCAAATAAGACTCATACACATACAAGTTTTACAACTGTTTAGAGCAGACGACATAATACTGAACTTTGACCTTGGTTCAAGTGCACCTTTAGAGAATCCGAGTACAAGCGTAAAAGATACTCTTAACAATTTAGATAAGAGTTGCAGGAATATCGAAGATCATGCCAGAAACTTTGAAGCATATGAACTACCCGCAATGTTAGACAAGAAAGCAGACAAAACAGAGCTTCAAACATTAAAGACAGAAATACTTCAAACATTATATCCTATAGGCTCTATTTATACGTCAATGAACTCAACAAATCCAGAAACAGTTCTGGGTTTTGGAACTTGGACTCAAATAGTCGACCGGTTTTTGTATTGTGCAAACTCTTCAAAGAAACAGGGAAGTAAAACGATTTCAGGTGCAAATTTACCTGCACACAGTCACTACATAAATTTAAGTACATCTCAAGCAGGTTTGCATAGGCATAAATATTGGGGTTGGTCAGCAATGACAAAAGGTAAAGGATATGATGTTAAAGACGACGTTAAGTTTGCTATAAATGGTTACTGGGATGACACTTGGGGAGAAGGAGACCATACACATCGCGTTTCAGGATATACGCAAACAACGGGACAAAGTAAAGACTACATGCCACCTTACATGACAGTTTACGCATGGTATAGAAATGCTTAGTCGTCATTTTCAACTTCTTTAGCATATTCGTCAGGAGTTGTCTTATATTTGTTAGGAACTGTCTTTGAAAGTATACCACCTTGAACTTTGACAAGTTTGAAACGAGGTCTGACAATAGTAGTTTTATCTTCTGCTTGCAGTGTGTACATTTTGCCATGTTTGCCTAAAACTTCATAATATTCTCTTGTATACTTTCTTCTATTTTTACGAACACGAATGTGAGTACCTGTCGGGTTCCCATTGTTGTCATAGTCAATAGTATTTTCATATGGGTCGCGTTTAGGTATTTCTATTTTTACTTTGTCACCTTTCTGAAGTTTGAAGCCCGGCATTCTTTCTTGTTTGTCTCTTTTGACTAAATTATTAAATATATAGTCTTTCTCTAAGTCAGGGTTGTTTTTCATTTCTTCGGGAGAGTGGTTTCCCAAACCTTTTTGTTTACGGCTATTGTAAATATTTAAAACTTGTCTCATCTTTGCCATGGAGAAGTGTCTATATTTGTCGTCATATGACATTTCATTTGCTTCACCACCTTGTGGTTGGTTTAAGTCTCTTAACATTTTTATACATCCGTCAATGACACCAAGAGCAGAATGGTTTTGGTCGACAATGAAATATTGGTTTACATTTTTTGAACGCAGATAGTTTTTTACATCATCTGATTTGAAAGAACTTTCACAGTCAGATGTCAGTTTTGTTGGATGGTATTTGTCAACGAATATTGTCAAAGCAGTTTTCACATCTAAAATATTTTTGGACCATAATGGTATGGCTTCACAGTATCTTGTGTTTTGACCGACAAATATTAGCCAGTATGGTGGTCCATCTTCTCTATACCTCGGAATGTTTTCCAAGATATCCATAAACCAAGCATTTGGTGTTGAACTAAAGATTTTTATCATGAGTGCTTTCTTTGTCGCTTTAGAAACATAGGGGTCCTTGTTTGGATTCGTCATTTTTTATCCTATAAGAAATGGGTTTATTTGGCGCATTAGCAGGAGTTGCATCCATTTTTGCCCGCAGTGGGAACAATAGCCAGAGGTGTATTTGGAGTTGGAAGGAAGATTTTGAGTACATTAGGTATACTTAAAGAGAAAGCACAACCTATTATACAAACTGTACAGAAAGGTTGGATGTAGCACGAGATGCAACAAATCTTATTCCAAATCCTGAAACAAGAGGAAAAGTTCAAGGATGGATGGACAATGTAGGAAGACAAGCAGGAAACTATTATAACAAAGCAAATGACTACTATAACCAAGCAGGACACTATATGGACCAAGGTGAAAGATTCTTTAACAGAGGATATAACCATGCACAACAATGGGTAAACAATAACCAACCTCAACCGCCTCAAACGTGGGGAATGTAAAGTTTTTTACTGAGATGAAATGAACAATACAGCATTGAGACAAATGGGTTCAAGATGGATTTGTCGGCTTCCAGCAGTTACACAACGTGTTTGTCAAGTTCTTCCTATACCTCAGGAAGTTTTAGACCGACTTAAAAAACAACAACAACCAGTTGAAAACAAACCAAACTAAAATTTTTTACTGAGATGAAATGACCGAAGAAGTTGAAACGGTAGATTTGACACCACAAACAAAAAGTTCAGAACCATTGTCAAAACCTGTCAAAGAACTTACAGATGAAGAGAAAAATTCAATAATAGAAAGTGCCAGGTCTGGAAATACAAACCCTAACTACAAAGTCACTTTTCATAAAAATGGAACGGCAAGTATCTCAAAAAGAAACAGACTCTCACAAATAAAATATTGAAGTCTGAAGGAGCTTTCGAGACAACAGATGGAAAAGTTTACTTCACTGACCAACAGTTCATTATAGAACATCTCATTGACTTAGAGTCGAAATATTCTAAACTTTACAACAAACACAAAAAAGTTGAAAGGAAAACAAAAACAAATGGCATATGATATTTATGAAGATGTTGACGACACAACTGTTCCTGCAAGTGAAGTAAAGTCAGAGGAACCGAAAAGTGACGAAAAACCGATAGAAGAAGAAAAACCAAAAACTGAAGATAAACCAAAACCAAAGTTTAGTTTCCAAACTAAACCAAGTCAACCTTCATTAGCTGGTATGGGTTGGCGTCAAAGACTTATGGCAGCAGGCGGTTATGTAAAGTAAAGAAAAAATATTTTTTTATTTTTATAAAAATGCCCCCATATAGAATGGATAGAAAATCTGCTAGAATAAAAGCAGAGTTGCAAAGATATGGTTGGAGAGTTTCGAAGAAGTTTAAATATAAGAAAGGAAGACCCATAAAAGTCTATGACAAACTGGCTGGTCTGACCTACGAAATGGATTTGGAAACAGCACGTGCCAATTATCCAAACAGACTAGAGAGGTTAGAAGAAGAACGTCTTATGGACATGCCTTTCGATGTGTTAAACATTGCATGAAGTAAAAAATTTATTTTAAAAAAGTGACATTTTTTTATTCGAATTTGAAATGTACGCTGAGTTTGTTGGAGAAGACCGTTGGGAAACTTGTTTGTTAGATGAGAAATATGAAATGGCATACCATTTTAAAACAATATATTTTTACATATATTAAATGCTTCAGGCTGAAAAACAAAGAACAAAAGTAGCAGATACAAAACCGTTAGACTATATCTTTACAAATGCTGGTAGGACTATTTCAGATGAAGAAATTTCATCCCGAGTATACAGGTTTGACTATCCAATTCGTTGGCTTCAAAGTCCTTCAGATGCAAAGGCAATAGGATTTAGAAGAGTTTTGTTTTCAAATAGAACTAACGCATTTATGTTCGCAGTATATTTCATGGGCAGTATAAAGGTTCTGATGGTCTAATAGACAAATTTGACGAAATGAGAATCTTTACAGTTCGTTCAGACGAAAGTCTTGAGAAAACTCTAAATGACTTTCAAACTCAAATGAACAAATATTATTGGGAATTTCAAGAAAAATACGACTCTTTACTAAATGGAACATACTATCTGAAACTAGAATATGACAAGATGAACTCCACCGTTTCATTTCAAAAGATTGAAATTAACCCTCCAAGAGATACAGAGTTTTTATTTTGGAAAGTAGACAAACGTTCTTGGGCACAATTTCTTCGGTTACTAAACCAGAACGAACCATTACCACCAGATGGTCCATTTCAATTTATACTTCCACCAGCAGATTTGACAGTTTATAGAAACGTGTTTGACCCTCAAAATGTTATGTGTCATGCAAGTTTCAGTTCAAGCAACAATAGTTTTCTATGTATTGGTAAGGACTTTTATGACTTTGCTTCTAAATTCTACGAACCACCTAGTAACAGTTTCTCTGACTTTCAAGTTTGGTTCACAACAAATGGTGGCAACATATTATTCCATTGTACTATGACTTTTATCTCGAATTGTCTTTCATATATAACTACGGAAAAGTGCTGAAAAAGTATTGAATGTGAAGATATTAGAAAATAACATTTTTTCTAACATCGTAGAAAACTCATGAAAACAATTTATTTTTGACACTTTCACAAAAAACATAAAAAAGTGCAGTTAAACGTTAAGGTTTACTGAACTGGTTGGATGTCGCCTTCACAGGTTATGTAGAATGGTTGACCCGAGAAGCGAAGGAGAGACTGAATTGCCAATTTCATATGGGGTAGGGGGTTTCTCCTTGTTTGGTATTTTTATCCAAGGACGTTTGTTTAGGAACTTAACAAGAGCTTCTTTCTTTGCTTGCTTTATGTCGTCGAAAGGAGTGTTTTCTGGTATTTGAATTGGAATTCCAGTCGAAGTCTCGAGATTCAAGGCAGCCCTTCCAGAAATAGTGGTGAACTTGACCTTGGGCTTCATGACCTTGCGCAAGTAGTCTTTTACGCAGTCGTTAAGTTCAATTAGGTAAATTGCCTCGTCAAGTCTTTCTTGCATTCCGAGTCCTTCCATCCGACAGGAAAATATTTTCCCGACAACTGGAAAAAATTTTCCTTCCGACAGAAAAAATTTTTCCTTCCGACAGGAAGAACTCTTCCAGTTGTCCGTCCGTAAACCATTCAAATTTTCGAAAATTGAGAACTTTTTGGTCGAACTTCAGAAAAAGTTTTTCCTTCCAACAGAAAAAGTTTTTCCTTCCGACAGGAAAAAATTTTCCTTCCGACAGGAAAAAAATTTCCTTCCGACAGGAAAAGTTCTTCCTTCCGACAGGAAAAGTTCTTCCTTCCGACAGGAAAAGTTCTTCCTTCCGACAGGACACAAACGAATGTCCCACGTCCCACCAACCCAGTCCATTCCCAAACCAGAGGAACCTAAAGAACCACAACAGTCTCCTCAGCAACCTCAGTTCCAGCAAGTACCTCCACCAAATTACTACCAATTTCCACCTCAAGGTTACTACCCACCACAAGGCTTCCCGAACTACCCTCCTTTGCCTATGCCTTACTTCCCCAACCCTTGGATGTTCCAGCAAGCTCCACCTCAGCAATTCCAATCTCAATCCAAATCGAAGAGAGACCAAGAGTTCGAAGAAGGTCTGAACCGTTTACGCAAAGAGTATGCTACAGCTCCAATTGAGAGAAAGTTGTTCCCGGACCAAAAATAAAGTTTATGTTAGAATGTTAGATCTAACACGTTTTCTAACACGTTTTCTAACCTCATGAATTTTCATGAATTTCCTTAAGACAGAAAAAATAAAGTTAGTTTTATTTTGTATTTTTTTGTATGTAAGATATGATTTCAGGGATTTTTTTGACGAAGTGTCAACCTTCACTTCGTCAAAAAATAACAGTTATCTAATGAAAAAGTGTCATTTTTTGTATTTTTTTGTATGTTAGATATGATTTCAGGGATTTTTTTGACGAAGTGTCAACCTTCACTTCGTCAAAAAATAACAGTTATCTAATGAAAAAGTGTCATGATTTCATCGTAAATGTTTTGTCATGACTTCATCGTACATGTTTTGTCATGACTTCATCGTACATGTTTTGTCAAGACTTCTTCGTAATGAGTGTAAATGTTTTGTCATGATTTCATCGTAAATGATTTGTCAAGACTTCTTCGTAAATGTTTTTTCACCTGTTTTTTCTAACCTCTTGAATTTTCATGAATTTTCCCGAAATAAAAAATAAAGTTAGTTTTATTTTTTTTATTTTTTTTATTTTTTTTATTTTGTATAAAAAAATAAAAATGTCAACAATCGGCACAACAACACTTCAAACAACTACAGCACCAAACTCGTTAGTCATGAATCCAACATCTATGTTAGTAGAGATGAAAAGCTTCATTCCTTCTTCATATACTTTTGAAACAGAAATCCAGAAGATAAAGCAAGAACTTTTAACATGTAATTTAGACTGTAGTGCGAAAGATGAAACAAATGAACAGTATCTTTATGAAATGCAGGACCTCATCGACCATTTACCCAAATTGCCTGAAATTCAGCAACAAAAACTCACTATTCCTGAATTCGATGAAATAGAAGTGAAACCAACTGACTCAGTAGAAATAAAGAAGTTCATACGAAAGGTAAACTATGAGTTTCTAGGATTTCATTGCAACCATAAGGTTATGGACAAAGATTGCGACATGGTATATAAGAATGTTTCTGACATATATAAATCTGAAGAATTTAAGACCTACGACAACTTTGTTTCGTTAGTTGCTGAATGTGTATGGCAGATAAGAGATGAAGATAGAAGAGGTAAAGTATGGAATAAACAGATAAAACCAGCAACTTTTGAGTTAAAGAAAACCATTGACGCTTTAGTTGTTTTAGCAGGTAAGGTTTCAGAATATAACGCAAAAATGAACCCGCAATGTTCAAAATGTAAGGCAGCAATTAGGAAATATAACTACTCCGTCAAAGAGATAGAAAGAATGAGAAACGACTATGCAGACTTAAAGAAAGAAGCAGAAAAGCCAGCAGAAGATAAAATGGACATGTTAGCATTTCTGAACAAAAACTATCCAACTGCTGACGATTTCCTTCTATCTGACGTCAAGAAGAAGTATAAAGAAACCTTCGGCATAGTTAAAACATTCGATGTACTAAAAGAAGAAATAGAAGCTACAAAACTGTTTAGAGTCATGAACCATCGCAACATATACCATGTAAAACGCTTGTAAATAGTTATGTGAGAAAACGTGTTAGAAAACGTGTTAGATCTAACATTCTAACATAAAATATATTTTTGGTCATTTACAATGAAGTCTTGACAAAACATTTAAGTTCGATGAAGTCTTGAAAATTCATGAGTTTTGTGTGTTTTAGACCATGTTAGAAAACGTGTTAGAAAACATGTTAGATCTAACATTCTAACATAAAATATATTTTTGGTCATTTACAATGAAGTCTTGACAAAAACTATCCAACAGCAGAAGATTTCCTTCTGTCTGACGTCAAGAAGAAGTATAAAGAAACTTTCGGCATTGTTAAAACATTCGATGTACTAAAAGAAGAAATAGAGGCTACAAAACTGTTTAGGATTTCAAATATACATCGTACAATTCATGTAAAACGCTTGTGAAAAAAGAGGTGAAAAAACAGGTGAGATCGCACCACTTCACCTAAACTTTATTTTTGCTGAAAAATGACCAAATTTCATGAGTTTTCCCGAAATAAAAAATAAAGTTAGTTTTATTTTTATTTATTTTTTTATTTTGTATGTAAGAACAGAAATGACAAACATTGAGTTTGAAACAGTTAGAAAGATAGACAATGACACCAAATTGGTTAGAATAGGTGATTTAAACGTAAGATACTCAAAGAAATACAACAAATATTCTTTGTCAGACATTATATCTCCATTTGGAAAGAAACCGAAGGACTGGGTTAGAAATGCTTCTACTCAGAAAATTTTGACAAGAAATCCTGGGCTTATGATATCGGTAAGATTCTATGGAACTGCAGCATATCTTATAGACAAAAGTCTTATACCAATAGTTTTGTTATGGTTAGACCCAGTTGTTGGATATAACTTCATAACATATGGTTCATTCGATACGGAACGTTGCAGTGAAGGCTTACTTTACATCGTTCAGAAACCGAAGGACTTCAATACAAAGAGATATAAGATAGGAAGAACATATAATATAACTCAAAGATATGACAGTACAGTCAATAGAGTCAAGGTTGTGTTTGCTAATGATATGAGAGCTGCAGAAACAGAACTACTTGAAAAGTTTGAGAAAATATATGGTGCTCCCATAAAAGGTAAAGAAACGTTTGAAGTAGATGAGATAGATAAAGCTATAAAATTATTTGACGAAGTTGCTGAAAAATACATGTAAAGCGTTTATTTTTGGTCTTTTGTGAAAGTCAGAAAATAAAGTTAGTGTCATTTTTTTCATTTTTTTGTATAAAAGATATGATTTCAGGGATTTTTTTGACGAAGTGTCAATGTTCACTTCGTCAAAAAATAACAGTTATCTAATGAAAAAGTGTCATTTTATTTTTTTATTTTGTATGTAAGATATGATTTCAGGGATTTTTTTGACGAAGTGTCAATGTTCACTTCGTCAAAAAATAACAGTTATCTAATGAAAAAGTGTCATTTTATTTTTTTTATTTTGTATGTAAGATATGATTTCAGGGATTTTTTTGACGAAGTGTCAACCTTCACTTCGTGTCATAATGTAAAAATAACGTTTACCATGTAAAACGCTTGTGAAAAAAACAGGTTAGAAAGGAGGTTAGATCTAACCTTCTACCCTAAATTATATTTTTGCTGAATTCCGTATGAAAATCTGAGTAAAATGGCATAAGATTGCTTCCCTCGGAAAACCGAGAGAAGAGATTCCGTATGAAAACAGTGAAGAACAGCGAGTAGGTAAGAAACCTTAGTCGCCTAAAACTCATGAAAACAGTGAAATTTCTCTAGACCGACTTTTTTCGGTCTTGCATAAAACACATGAAAACAGTGAATTTCCTTAAGACAGAAAAAATAAAGTTAGTTTTTTATAAAATATTTTTTTTATCCGGAATATAAAGACAGATATGTCAACAACCGAGAACACAACAACAGTTATAATCCATGAAGCTATAAATGAAGAATACGAGTACATACAGTATAACAAACAGTTACGTCTCATTCGTTCGGTCAAAGACGATATGTACCAGATGCAAAGTATTTTGAACGCTCTTCGTTCTACAAAGCAAGCATATCATTGGTTTGAAAACCAACAGACAAAAGAACTTTTAGAAGAATTTCCTCATATGTTTGCTACCCTCGGAAAACCGAGGGTAGAGATTCCGTACGAAAATCGCAAGAATTTGGCTCCTGGTTTGAGAGGATATTATGTTCATAGACTTTTAGTAAATGCCGTAGCAATGTGGGCTTCACCTCGTTATGCTTGTTATATTTTCATGATGTTAGATGAACTATATAAAGCAGAACGTGAAGAGATGGAAAACAAGCTTGAAGCAAAAGACAAAAGCATTCAGAAAAGAATACCACGTTTGGTACCAAAAGGTAAGGAAAAGAACTATAAGTATATGATTTATACTGAAGAGATGGAAAATGAAGAAGATAAAGATATGGTTATGTTGCATTTAGTCAGAAGAAACAACAAAAGCTTTTACGACCTTGCTAAGATTTACAAATCTGACAGAAATTGGTTCTATCGCGAAAACTTACCGATTTCAATGACACCGAATGAAGATGTGAAACAAATAGTTCAAGATACGTTACCTCAAACACACTATGATATGAAAGGTTGTACAATTTTTACCTTCAAAGAAGACTTACCGCTACTGAAGGAAAAAATAACAGAGTATTTTGACAACTTCAAACAAGTAGAGTAAATGAACCATTTATTTTTCAAGCTTGACTTTTTACAATTTGAACTTTGTTTGCGTAGATATGAATTCTGAAAGAAGTATGAGGGTCTTGTATGACTTTATACTTCTCCCATAGTTCATATCTGTCAAACTTACCTGCCATGGACTCTTTCATAAGTTCCATGAAATCGTCTTCGGACAATCCGGGGAAAAGTATAATGTCAGTAAGTATTCTTTTAACATCCTTACTTAAACTCTTTGCTGTCTGTACACAAATGACAACTGAGATGTTAAAGTGTCTGAGCTTCTTAAGAATTCGACACATATCTTGTTCTCTATTCTTAAGCAAAGGATGAGAAGCAAAGTCATCTAAGATAAGAAGACACCTATGAGGGTATGTCTTCCAATCGTAAGATTGCAATTTCTTCGAAATGTATTCTATCTCTTTCTGTTTGTTTCTGAAGTGTTTCTTCTCTAATATTCTCTGCATTTCCTCATTTGGGTCTTTAAACTTAGAATTTATATACTCATTTATAGCATTATACTTCAAAACTCTTCTTTGGTACTTCTTTATCCAATCTAACAACTCAGAGTCTTTTATACATACTAACTTAGACTTCTTTATAATATCTTTGAACGAATTGACGGTTTGGTCAAATTGACCAGAAGTACTACAAATGACAACTAACTCATAGAATGGGTTCTTCTCATCTAGTTCTTGTTGTTGTGCAGCCATTTTAAGATAAGTGAAAGTCTTACCCGACCCAGGTGGTGCAATTAGACCTGTTATACCATTCTGAGCAAATAAGAACTTGTCATGTATAGGCTTTATCTGAGCATTTTCTAACTTCCTCTTGTTCTTATTTAAAACATTCTCAAATTTCTTGTCAATGTCAGCAAACTTTTTTTCTAACATATTTTTAGAAAAATTAAAATTTTTATCTTTTAGAAAATGTCTAGCGATTTCGCTATCTATATTCGAGACAAGCTTTTCGACAGCAAAACATCTGTCGACCATAAAATCTTACATAGTGTAAACAAGAAAGGTGAATTTGTTCTAAAGTTCTGTTTCTGGGAATATGACAAGAACCATAAAACATTAAGCAGAGCAGTCTTAAAATTTGTCAATGACAGACTTGTTGACAGAGATGACGCCGATTGGAAAGATGAAGTCCAACAAAAGTTCTTAGAATGCAAAGAAGACACATGCGCTGTTCTTGAAGATGAAATAGAAAACAGAATAGAAGAGCTATTAAAGGACAAAGAACTTTTACATAAATATAGTTGCGCCAAATTTGACATAACTCCACCAGAAAAGAAGAAGAAAGAAAAGAAAGAGAAAAAAGAAGAAGAGAAGAAAGAACCTGAACCAGTTCCAGAGAAAAAGAAATTTGACATGTAAAAATAAAATTTTATTTTTAGAACATTTCTGGGTCAATGTCAATGTTCTCTTCCTCTTTAGGAGCAAACACTGGCTTAGACTCTAAAATCTTTTTACCCAATTTACCTTGAACTTCAACTATCTTAGACTCATAATATTCATAGTCGTCTGCTTTCTTTGGTTCATAAGGTATAACAAGTTTGTATGCTTTGCCTTCTTTAAGGTTTGAAAACCTTCTGTCAAAACTTTCTTTGACTGCTAACAAACCTTCTATGTCTAAGTCTTCAAATTTCGCACCATTTTTAGTCACAATAGCAAACTTAACTGGTTCGATGTTCCAAACTTTGCTGAATGAAGACTTTTCAAAATGGTAGAAGTAAACATTCAAATATGTGAATGGGTCTAGTTCTTCTTTAAGTCCTGACATGTACTTATTTACTGAGATGAATTTTGCCATCTTTTCTATCGGATAAAAAAATATTTTTTTTTAAATTTACTCAGAAAAAATTTTTCTTTGTATATACACCATTCTGTACGTCTAAAAGACTTTTGACATTTGCCAAGAATGTTCGTTTAGACGCTGTCATATAACCATATTCTTGACAATATTGTTTATACGAATCGTACAATGACCTTTCATCTAAACACTCAAAGTCAGTTTCATCTATGAACAGTTCATATACACTCTTGTTTGCTTCTAACAATGTTTGTCTCTCTTCGGTATGTGGAATTTGTCTTGGATTGAACTTTGAAATATCTAATGTCATAAAATATGAGAACAAGTGGTTGTAAAAGTCAGATGTCAAAGTTTCTGCTAAGTCGTCAAAATATTCTGTATCTTGCATATGAGCTTCTGACGTTCTGACAACTACATATCTTCTGTCAGAACTTTCTAACTTCATCGGAACAGCATTGTTTGAAACCATAATGAAGTTTGCAACATTTTCACAAACTCTTTGGTCTTTATACTTTCTTTCAACAACTCCAACTTTGTCTGTTATAAGACTCTTCAAAGCATCTGAGTTCAAAACTTTTGTTGTATCTATACTTTGAAGTTCATTGCAAACTATAAGTTTCATATTCTCTAGTGAGGAGTTAAACTTGCCACAGATGTTTTCTAAGTTTGTCATATTCGGATTCGAATAACCTTCTAACAGTTTGCATAAGATATCTGTAAAGAAAGTATTCTTACCAGTTCCTTGTTTTCCAATTATAATGAGAGCAGTTTCATTTTTAGCACTTGGATGTTGTAAGATGTTTGCAAACCAACATAAGATATACTCATAAACCTTTTCGTTTCCATTGCATATAATTTCTTTGACATGGTCTAACCAAGCTTCTATAATATTTTCTTTCCATTCTACTTGTTCATATTTATATCCAGTGAAGATAGAATAGAAGTTTGGAGAAGGTGTATAGAACTTTATACCTCGAACTGAAAAATCTTCAAGTTTTGACAATAAGATATCCCAAGCATCTAACATCTTCATGCCAACTTGTACGACTTTTATTTTCTTAAGTTTCTGTCTACATTCTTGTTCTGAAACTATTGTCGCTTTAGGTTTGTTAAAGACAACATCCCATTCTTTCATGACATAACATTCTGGGGCAGAGTCAACATAAATGACTAAACGTTTCAAATTCTCGACTGCTTTGTTATAGTCTCGAAATGGACACATATTTCTGAATGCTTGGAAGTCATAAAAATCTGAAACATCTATTCTGTACATTTTTATAAAAATAAAAAAATATTTTTTTTATTCTTGACTTTGTTGTTGCATTTGTTGCATTTGTTGTTCTTGAGCTATTTGTTGTTGAAGTTGTTCTTGTAATACAATACTTTCACCAGTTGCATCTTCCAATTCGAAACTTTCTGCCGTCATTGACAAATACATAGGACATAAAAGTTTTACAGGAACAAAGTTTGCGTCAACTAATGTCAACGTTATACTTGCCAAAGTGTTTGAGTTCACTAAGGTTGAAAATTCTGCATTCGAATGAACAATAGGCAAACCAGCAGAGAAAGTATTGTTTATACGCATAAGTATCTTTTGGTCATAATAGTTTCTGTCGACATTCGAATAACACTTTGAACCTAAGTTTGAAACAATATATAAGATTGGTGTGCTTAATGTCAATGGAATAGACATTCCTTGTATGACACCTTTTCCTGTTATAGGAAACTGTTGGTAGTAAAAACCAGAAATAAGTTTTGTATTATAGCTCATATCGTTTATAGTAAACTCAGTCGGACATCCAAACATAATGAAACCTGCTCTAGTTGCAGCACATGTTACACCCGTACTTAAAGTATTAAATAAGTCAACAAAACCTGTTGGTGGTATATCTGAGTAAGTATCTTCAAAGGAGTATTTTTTACCATTCACAACAATAAAGTCTTCTGGTGTCAAAAGAGCAAAACAGGCTTTAGTCGTCATTGTGTTTAAGGTTAGTTTACAATACCGTCCTTGAGGACTTTGTAAGTTTGTTGTTATAGAATTATATGACCCAGGGTTTTTAGTCGTAATAGTATAAACCATTATATCTTCTGCCATTTATATATATTTAAAAGTTTTTCTGAAAGTGGAGAAGAACTTCATCTAAACTTTCACATGGCGTTTCTTGAAGTTCTCTGTCTAAGAAGTTCAAATATTTTGTAAAGACATAGAACTTTCCTTTGTCTACACGAACAAACAAAACAGGGACTTTCATATCGTTCAAAAGTGTGTAAAGTCCTTTACATGAAATAAAGTCTATATTATTTTTCTTCAAACATCTTTCAAGAAGTTTTGACATTTTTACTTAGCAAATAAATTTTAATGAAATGTTGTGGTCGTCAAATATTTTTATGACGTCTGGGAAACTATACTTTAAGTTCAACGTTTCACCTCCTTTCATAACGTATATCTTGTCAATGACATTATATGAAACACCACAGCAACTAATGTCGGGTTCTATTTCTTTGATGTTTATATCGTCTGCCTCTGTCAAAAGTTTCAATAGTTCTTTCAAAACTTCATGAGGTGCAATGACATATGAGTTCACTTTTACAGGGTTGTGTTCGACCAAGTTTAACATTATACTTAAAGCTTGACAAATCTTCTCCTGAGTTTGAAGTTTGTCTTTCAGTTGTTGGTAGTCGTTTCGAATATCTGCAACAGAACTTAAGTCTCTGCTAACTTCAGGATATGTTGGTTGTTCTTTTACAGGAACAATTGTTATACCATCTTCGTCCTCGTATGGTTTCCCCACTTCAACATCTCTGTCTTTGACATTGACAACAACACTTTGACTGTTTGTTTGAGTTGGTGAATTTAACTTCACATCTGCCACCGCCATTAAACCTTTTGAAACACTCACGCTTCTATTTTTCGGAAATGACATTTTACTTAGAATAAAAAGATGGACGTATTCGAGTATCTCTTCGAATTGAAGCAGAACAAAGTTTACACACACAAACAATACAAATACATTGACAGAATAGTTCTTTATACAAACAATGGTAAATGTTATAGAATAGCAATATTTGCTGAACCAAAATATTTCCATAAAGCAAAGAAAGTTGGTATAACTGAAATGGTGAAAGTTCTTGACGTTGACAAAAATATAACAACAAAACTTACAGATATTTCTAAAGGTAAGTTTATCTTACAATATTATGTCAAAACTGGCGTACTGTCAATATTTGACGGAGAGAAGTCAGTTCAAGAACAACTTACTGACCTGCTGCCAAAATCTGCTCGATGGAAGCTGTCGTTATGCCAATCTGAGGAGCCCCAGCAGGTTTCATCGAACGAATCTTCAAAAGAGCATCTTCCGTGAAAAGTGCTATTGGTTTTGTAAACTTCTTTGCTCTCAGTTCATCTGGACCGTCTCTGTCACCAGTATATTGTATTTGTACAGTACCAACAGTTGAAATACCACCCATAAAGTCTTCTGAGTCAGCAAATGGAATGCCAAGCCAAAAGTTTGAACGGTCTCCATTTGTATATTGAGTTTTTTGACCTCCTGTATGAGTCCATACTTTCACATATGGCATAATAGAACTTTGCATTTCAGGGTTAATGGTTGTTGTGAAGTTGTTGTTAAAGTTCATAGCATCTAATGTCAAGTTGTATGACCTCATATCCTCAACTGTAGAATATTCTTCTCTTGGATAATATTTGCCATCTATGTTTATATGATATTTAATACCGGGGTTGTAGAAACAAGAATAGTCATTTATAGTTCGTCTGAACAGTACAAACATAGTATCTGCATGTTTCATTGCAGTTGTTAAAGCAATATCTGTTCTTGCACCTGGGTCAGCACTTTGGTTTCCAACTTCACCTGCAAAGTCTTTGACAGATATTTGGTGTATAGGGAACATAAGTGGAACTGCAATATATTTGGCAGCTAAAGCATTTGAAATATCTGGGTCCAACATATAGACTGCAAGTCTGCTTTCTATTCTCTTGCATTCAAACTTTTCGCATGTAAACTTAACTGGGTCCCAAGCAGTTCCAGCAGCATTGAAATAATAGTTTACTTCATTGTTGAAGTTTGAGAAACCAAAGTCTAAGTCAACTTTGTCTTTGCAAAAGTCACAGAACTTGGCTCCACCAGTTCCAGCTACAGTAATGCTGAATGGGTCTTGTGTTGGTGCAATGACTAAGTTATTTTTGCTTGGAGTAAGTTCAATAGAAATTTTTCCTGCCCAGTTTGGCAAGTATCTTAAAAACCTGAAGATGAGGAAAGATGACAAAGGAACTCTAAGTTTCAGTTTTACTTTAGTGGCAGCAGTTCCATCTGAACCAGAAAGGTTAACATAAACTCCTGGAACGTTAGGGTCAAGTCTTCTTATTTTCTCAATATTTGCATACTGGTCTGTTTGTTCTCTAGCTTGTGGTTGTACTGAGTTTCTCAAAGCGAACCATTCATAGTTTGCCCATGTTACTGTTTGAACTAAGTCAGAGTTAGAATATATCTTATATCCCATGAAAACTTCTGGAGCATATTGGTATCCGACATAGAAAATTCCATTGCAACCTTTCTTGTCAGACAACTTGGCAGAAGGTTTTATTTCAATGTCTTGTTCCACGTATAAGAATGAGTTGTCAATAGGAATAATATGAAACCTGTCGCAAGCAATATCTACTGTTGTTGAAGAACCTTCTCCAAACTCACCTACGTTTCCATAAGAAACAGCAGTTGTATATTCGTAAGTTCCAGGAACTATTTCTGACCTTCTAATGGCATTGTCGCATTCGTTATACCATTCGGAAACATTTCCGTTCATGGCATCCAAAACTGTTGGCGTTATATTCTGAGCGGCGTACATTTCATATGGGTAAAAATATAGAATAGTTGGATTTATGTTCATAATAGAACCCACTCGGACCAAGCTTTACTTTCTTCCTGACTGAGTTTTTAACTCTTCTTTTTCCTTCATTGCCACTACTTTCACTAGATGAAGTTACTTCTTCACTATTTTCACTTTGTTCTACTCTTCTCTTCTTCTTTGGTGTCGCTTTTGGTAACTTGCCTTCTGCTTCAAGTTGTTGCATCTTTGCCTCATGTTCACCCAGTATGTTGTAAATTTCCCATGTCCTTTTTGCCTTTGGGCTCTGGTCGCCCATCTCAGGTAACCTATATCCTAGAAAGATTTTGTCATAGTTTGTATTTGAGTCTTCGCGTATTGTTTGCATGACTCTTTCCTGAGTTTCCGGTTCAAGCTCTTCAAATATAGCTTGTCCATATGGAATATGCTCGTTTCCAATATATGTTTTTGTAGCCATTCTGGTTTTCTTTCCATGTTACCAATAATATTTTTGTGAATGGGAAAGCTTTTACCCAATGTTTCAGTCTTGCGTCATTTATTTCTGTAGTTGGTTTTATTTTGTCAAGGAACATGTTTTTCAATACTAACATTTCATTTGGTACTGTCCATTTGAGTTTTCTTAAATATTCATCCCTTCTCAGTTCATTGTCTGCAAAGTAAGTTTTTATGACATTTTGTAAACTTTCGTTTGCAAGGTCATGTACAATAGGTTCTCTTCCTTCTATCTCCCTAACTTTCTTTCTAAACTCTTCACCAAATATACCATCTCTATGGTTCTGTGTAGTTCTTTGAGATAAATGTTCTAGAACGTCAGGTGTTATATTTCCATCAGCCATGTTCATTTCATACTGGTCCAAAATATCTGCATGTTTCATATCTTTCAATGGCATTAAAGCCGCGCTGAAAATACCAGCTATATCTGGTTCACCATTCACTTCCATTGCGTCTACAACTTCTTGGAATTGTGGTTGTAAGTTTATGAACCACCTATCCGGATTAGCTTTATGACCCCATCTCATTGTAGTTTCCATAGTCTGCAAAAAAAGTTAGGTTTTGTTTCATATTGGTTAGATTCTGAATGAACTTTAAACAATGTTTCATTTCTATATTTTTGTTGAAATTTAACCTTTTATTTTCACCGAGTTCAGCCAAAGATTGAACGTTATATGTCGTAAGTAAAAAGGATTATTGTATTTGCGTACATTTTCTTTCAGTACTTCCATTCTATGCTGAATATTTTCATCTGATTTGGAGTCTTTTGTATGTCGGCGAACATTTTTCGATATTCTTCTACTATGTCAGCTGAATTTTTCTTAGACTCTTGGAAAGATTCCATATTCTCCGCATACTCTTGTTTGAGGGTCAAGATTTTTCGGCTGTTCCAAATCTTCATCTAGTTCTGTGAAGTTAGTTTCCAAAGGAGGGATTTGTTCGTTTCCTTCAGGCTCTTCTAGCTGTTGTTGCTGAACTATTTCTTCCATGTCTGGTTGTATCTGAACTTCTTCCTGTGGAGTTTCTTGTACCTCATCTGCTGGCATTTCATATATTCCGAGACGTTTTTAACAAGTTCCCTATTTAAGCCATCCGCATTCATAACCCTTTCTTCTTTCGTTCCGTCTCTATTTTTTACGCGTTTCATGAAGATAGTTGAATTATCATTTATCTCTGACACAATATCTCGGAGTAAATTCATCCATGTCATTTGGATGATATGCTATTAAATCATATCCCTTAGCAAGCTTGTATTTCAGGTTTGAAATTATATCCCATTTGGTGCTGAACCATAAAGCTAAATAGGTTCGGGTCAGTATTTCCTTCCTTGAACTTTCTAATAGCTTCTTTATATCTGTCACTAAGTCAAGAGTATCTGGGTAACCATAGTCTTCCTTAAGCATTTTTAAGAATTTTGGTTTCCTTGTTCTCTACTTCTTTTATGTCCTTGCTCTGTTTGTGTTGTTGCTGTGCAGTTTTGAACTGTTGGTTGTGGTGCAGTGTTTTGAACTGTTGGTTGTGGTGCTGGATTTTGAACTGTTGGTTGTGGTGTTGGTTGTTGTGTTGGTTGTTGTGTTGGTTTTGGTGCATGCCTGTGTCTGTGTCCATGTGACGATGTAAATGTTTTAGGTAGTCCTGGTGCAGGTGCTTCTCTTGGATGGTTTGGTGGTATATAAGTTCCACCAGCTGGCACATATGTTCCATCTGCAGCATAATGTCCTACCTGACTTTTCGTTTTTAAGAAAGCATTTACTAGGTCTGTTTTGGTTTGTTGTAACTCTTTTTCTTGACTTTCCACAACAGTTGCTCTAACGGCGTCATAGGCACTTTGAACTGCCTGTCTCGTTGCTGCATCTGTTATTTTCGTCATATTTTGTGCTACTTCTCTTAACTCGTTGTCGAAACCTTCAGACTTCAGTTTCTTTCCAGATGAGAAGTCGTTCACTAGTTTCACCTTACTATGAAGAGCTTCGAAGGCGTTCTTAAAGTCAGCATTCATTAAAGCTTCATTTGAATGTCTTCATCCGCTTGTATTTTTGTCCTTATTGACCCTATAAGTTGGGCTGCTTTGGCGTTGGCTTGGGCATCTAACCAGTCATTATTAGCTTTTATATATTCTGCGCTTTTCATTGCCTTTGCATGGCTGCGTCGTTATTTTTACTTTCTTGTGCTAAGTTTTCATACTGTACGGTTTGGTTTTGCAACTGTAAAAGTTTTCTGCCTTTACATTTGCTTCAACTTCTTTTTTATACTCATCGCTATCCATATATGTCTTCAGGGCTTTTTGTTTTATTTCTTCATCTTTCAGTACTTTATATTGAGTAGTATGGTTTTTCAAATTTATAACATCTTGTTCCATTTTTGCTACTTCTGCTGCTTTTTCTGAACTTTTTTCGCATATTCCTCTGTACTTAGTTCTTTCAGTTGTTCTTCTTTTCTTCTTTTTCTCTACGTTTAACTCATTGAGTTTCTTTGTGTGTCTGTCATATTCTAGTTTCTTTTCGTTTTCACTTATTTGTTTCTGTATGTCTATGTTTTGACTTTTTGACATCTGTTATTTGATTTTGAGTGAACTCAAATTCATTTGACTTTGAGGGTTATAAGCTGTTCCGTCTGCAGCTCCACCATAGCCTGCCATTTTCGCTAAAAGTGCCGCTCTTAAACCTCCACTCTGTGCACCAATAACTCGGTTTAAAAGCATAGGGTTGCTTGACATTTGTTGCAACATAGTGGGGTCATTCATCATTTGTTGTTGCAACTGTTGTTGTGGTGTCAGTTTTACTATTGGATGTTTCAATGCTCCCTTCCTCTTACGTATATTCTTACGTAGCTTACGTGGCATTTTAAGTGAAGTAAAAAACGGTTCTTGACAGATGTTTATATGACACTTTTTGTTCAGCACAAAAAACTACTCGGTCAAAGTGTTGTCAGTTTTGTAAAATAACCGTCCTATCTCATTCTATAAGGGGAAAAGGCTTCTCAAAGTATACTTCCTTGGAACGCCTGTAACTTTTCCTGTAGCGACGATAGACCCTTACTTGTCCGGACAAAGTTATACTAAACATCTTCAGGGCTAGAGGGCACGAAGTGCCTGGAGGCCCCACTACCTTTTTTTTTTTTTTTTTTTGATATACAATGTGTGTGTAAAGAAAATACTTTATTTACTAGTTAAAAAATCATTTGGTATTGATCAAGTTATTTTTTCTGGATAAGATATTATATGGATAATTGGATATAAAATACAATTATATAATCTTGTACCTGGTTTAATTAAGCTAATTGTCATCAGAAACTTGTAATTTTTATGAATTTCAGATTTTCTTTTCATTACTGCTTTTCTTAATAGGTCAAGTTCTTATTTACGTTATAAAGTATGATATTTACAAATATCAAGTTATCATGTTTTTTGAGAAATTATGAGAAACAAACAAAAATGAAAAAGATAGGAATAGCAATGAAGAGTGATGTGGGTATAGAAAATGTAAGAGATATGAATGCAAAGCAATCAGTATTTAGGATATTGACCATAGATTTCGAAAAAAAAATGCTGCATATTGAGCGAAAACTATGATTATATTATAAGGCTGTCATTTAAAGCATAATGAAACTATTCCCTTTTCATTTTAATCGAATAAGATAGTAAAGATTTTTGAATTAGCTAGAAACTGATGAGATGTTTTCACAAATCAGATTTTTAATCTCTATAATGCATAATTCACTCAATATCTCAATTTTGATATTGCGAGATATTTTTGCTATTGGTTTCGCAATTTTGACACAATAGCAAGAGGGTTCTATAAGCATTATTATCAACGTAGAATCTGAATATCATATCAGAAAATGTCGCAAATCTGACATTTACCCGACCAAATAGCAAAAATAATTGAATACTTTTCGCAAAAACTTTAAAAATCGATAAAAATATGAAATATAGATATTAAAGAGACTTTTTATATAATATTCATAAAGATTTTCCAAAAATATGATACCGCAAAATTAAAAAAGTGACGTCTTGAGTGGAGTCAAAGGTCGAAATTGCTAGCTAAATGTTTTTTAGCGAAATTGCGTATTGTACGTTTTTTTCGCAAAACGAAACCCTTAATTTGAACAACCTCAAAAGTTTTTGTTTTCATTTTGAAAGGGACCGTTAAGTATGAAAAATGTATAAATAGGAATCATGTTTAGATTTGGATTATACAATTTTGGTGATTTTATAAATTGTAAGGAATACAAATTTAAAAATAGAAATCTACCTTTTTATAAAATATAAGGTGAAATGCGATTAAAATTAATTCTGAATATACGTAGTACTCAAAAAGTAACCTATTCAATTTCTAGTCATTAAAATGAATGATTAATTTGCTTAGATATCTGCCGATCATATTTTGCACATCAATTTTTAATTTCTTTTCCAAAATTGATATCGTGTAGTAAATAATATATTCTGTTGTGCAATTTATATTTCTACAAATTATGATTCGATCTTTCAAAAAGTGTTTGAAATACGTTCTCAATCAAATAACCAAACTGAAATGTGTTTTCAAATTTAAAGCTCTCATATAACTTTTAATAATTCGAACTACAACTCCCAACTTAAAATAACTATTAAAATTCTTCCATAAAAAAGCACGGTAACGATCTTAAAAATGAATTCCTGTTTTCGACTGTTTTATTAAACTATTATTAATTAAATTGCAAACTTGATTGTCGGAGGATCAAACTTTTAAAGCATTTGAGATACCATTACATGTTTATCAATTCAATTAATTCAAAACTTAGTTCTTAAATCTTCAAATAGAATTTTGACGGCTTTACAGCTTTCAAATTATTATTTAATATCATTATTTCATTTAATTTATTATATATATTTATTTGGGAACCTAGCTTTATCAAAACCCCTGTTATTCAATTTTGATTCAAACTGATTTCTTTCAAATTAATTTATAATGTATCACAAATAAACTATATCTTATATATTTACTATATTTTATATTTTTACATTTATCGTTGACTTATCAATTTGAGACGCCTTTGTGTTATATTTTTTTTCTGAAAAAAAAACGAATTTCAAATTTTTGCATGAGGAGTTCATCCTTATCATCCGTTTTTGATCCTTTAGTCGAAGCGACAATCAATAAAATTAAAAGTTCCGTAGTTGACTTAGATCCAAACATTAACTTTAGCCAAATACGTAGATATATCTCAATGATTATCCAAAATCCTAATAAGTTCAATGCTATTTCGCAAGATATCAATGCTATTGTTAAATGTGAAAGTTCAATGGAATTTCTAAATGATGTTCTAGCAACTGAAAAACGTGCAGCCCCTCCTCCCCCTGATGAAGAAGAGCCAAAAGAATCATCGAGAAGAAAAACACGTTCTTGGACCACAAACGAAGATTACCGTCTAATTATGGGTGTTCATCTCTGTGGCGAAAATTGGAATGATGTTGCCGAGTTTGTCGGAGGCGGAAGAACTCGTAGCCAATGTAGTCAAAGATGGTATAGAGTAATTGATCCGCGTATCACTAAAGAACATTGGACACCTGAGGAAGAAAAGAAATTATTAGATTTAGTTCAAAAATATGGCGAAAAATCATGGATAAAGGTTGCAGCTGAAATGGTTGGAAGAAGTGATGTACAATGTAGATATAAATATCGTAAGATGCAAAAGGCGCATGATGGTACACCAACTAATTCTGATAATGACTTCAAACCAGCACCAGCGCCAAAAGTTCAACCTGTAACTCAAGTTACACCAATAATGCCTATAATTAATCAGCCAGTGTTTACATCTCCTGAGCCCTTATTTTACTCCCATAATACAACTTCTACACCAAGCACAAATGCATTTCTGGAAATTCCTCTTTCACTTGACGGTGAGAAAGGATTATTTACATCATCTAGTATTTTCAACTCCAGTATATTTAATTGATCAATTGATTATTGTATAGAAAATATTATTTTATGAATCAAATAAAGAAAATTAATGTTATTGTATTAATTATTAAATTCACTAAGCATTTAATTTCAGTATTTAGCGTTGAATAAAAATCTTTCCAAAAAAAAACTGAAACAGTTCAAATATAATCATTATTTTAAATGTATCAAGAAATTGGAGAATAGGTTTTCGTCTAATCGCAGATTAGATCAATATATCTGATTTCGGAGATAAATTAGATGTAAATTGCAATTTAGAAGCATTTACAGACTAAGTGGAACATGTAGTTTAAATTTGTGCATTTCATTGATTAATATTGATGTTATTTGAATAGCTATTATTTTATCTGTAAATTTAATTATACATTATGAGCTCTTTTGGAAAATATAATTGGAATGATGATATTATTCATTATAAGAACTGATTATTAATTTTATAACTTTTCTGATGTTGCATGAGAGACTCTACGCATTGAGCATTTTGTATAAATATGCACATCGTGTATTTTAATATGTTAACCTTCACGAATTAAATTACAAAAAATTATATCTGTAAATCGAAGCAGGTTAATACTAACATATATTAAGAGTTTCGTTTTGCTAAAATTGTCACTTTTATAGCATATTTGTTTTTGGATGTTTTGCGAAACCAAAAAAAAACTATGATATACAATGTGTGTGTAAAGAAAATACTTTATTTACTAGTTAAAAAATCATTTGGTATTGATCAAGTTATTTTTTCTGGATAAGATATTATATGGATAATTGGATATAAAATACAATTATATAATCTTGTACCTGGTTTAATTAAGCTAATTGTCATCAGAAACTTGTAATTTTTATGAATTTCAGATTTTCTTTTCATTACTGCTTTTCTTAATAGGTCAAGTTCTTATTTACGTTATAAAGTATGATATTTACAAATATCAAGTTATCATGTTTTTTGAGAAATTATGAGAAACAAACAAAAATGAAAAAGATAGGAATAGCAATGAAGAGTGATGTGGGTATAGAAAATGTAAGAGATATGAATGCAAAGCAATCAGTATTTAGGATATTGACCATAGATTTCGAAAAAAAAATGCTGCATATTGAGCGAAAACTATGATTATATTATAAGGCTGTCATTTAAAGCATAATGAAACTATTCCCTTTTCATTTTAATCGAATAAGATAGTAAAGATTTTTGAATTAGCTAGAAACTGATGAGATGTTTTCACAAATCAGATTTTTAATCTCTATAATGCATAATTCACTCAATATCTCAATTTTGATATTGCGAGATATTTTTGCTATTGGTTTCGCAATTTTGACACAATAGCAAGAGGGTTCTATAAGCATTATTATCAACGTAGAATCTGAATATCATATCAGAAAATGTCGCAAATCTGACATTTACCCGACCAAATAGCAAAAATAATTGAATACTTTTCGCAAAAACTTTAAAAATCGATAAAAATATGAAATATAGATATTAAAGAGACTTTTTATATAATATTAAAAAAAAAAAAAAAAAAAAAAAAAAAAAAAAGGTAGTGGGGCTTCCAGGCACTTCGTGCCTTCTAGCCCTGAAGATGTTTAGTATAAATGAAGTTTTTATTCGGAAAATTGTTAGTCTTCTTGGTCGAAAACATTATATAATGTTTCACTTTTCACAAATTATATATGTTTTCATGTTTTGTCAAGACTTCTTCTTCGTAAATGTTTTGTCAAGACTTCTTCTTCGTAAATGTTTTGTTGAGACTTCTTCATCGTCAATGAGTGTAAATCAGACAAAAATATATTTTAGGGTAGAAGGTTAGATATAACCTCTTTTCTAACCTCCTTTCTACCCTCTTGAATTTGTCAAGACTTCTTCGTAAATGTTTTGTCAAGACTTCTTCGTAAATGTTTTGTCAAGACTTCTTCTTCGTAAATGTTTTGTCAAGACTTCTTCTTCGTAAATGTTTTGTCAAGACTTCTTCTTCGTAAATGTTTTGTCAAGACTTCTTCTTCGTAAATGTTTTGTCAAGACTTCTTCTTCGTAAATGTTTTGTTGAGACTTCTTCATCGTAAATGAGTGTAAATCAGACAAAATATATTTTAGGGTAGAAGGTTAGATATAACCTCTTTTCTAACCTCTTTTCTACCCTCTTGAATTTTCATGAAATTTACACCAAAAATATATTTTAGGGTAGAAGGTTAGATATAACCTCTTTTCTAACCTCTTTTCTACCCTCTTGAATTTTCATGAAATTTACACCAAAAATATACTACTAGGGTCATTTACGAAGAAATCTCAACAAAGTCTTTACGATGAAGTCTTGACAAAGTCTTTACGAAGAAGTCTCAACAAAGTCTTTACGAAGAAGTCTTAACAAAGTCTTTACGAAGAAATTCATGAAAATTCAAGAGGGTAGAAAAGAGGTTAGAAAAGAGGTTATATCTAACCTTCTACCCTAAAATATATTTTTGGGTCATTTACACTCATTTACGAAGAAATCTCAACAAAGTCTTTACGAAGAAGTCACAATAAAACATCTGTCAAAAACCGCTTTTTAACTTCACTTAAAATGCCACGTAAGCTACGTAAGAATATACGTAAGAGGAAGAGAGCATTGAAACATCCAATAGTAAAACTGACACCACAACAACAGTTGCAACAACAAATGCTGAATGACCCCACTATGTTGCAACAAATGTCAAGCAATCCTATGCTTTTAAACCGAGTCATTGGTGCACAGAGTGGAGGTTTAAGAGCGGCACTTTTAGCGAAAATGGCAGGCTATGGTGGAGCTGCAGACGGAACAGCTTATAACCCTCAAAGTCAAATGAATTTGAGTTCACTCAAAAATCAAATAACAGATGTCAAAAAGTCAAACATAGACATACAGAAACAAATAAGTGAAAACGAAAAGAAACTAGAATATGACAGACACACAAAGAAACTCAATGAGTTAAACGTAGAGAAAAAGAAGAAAGAAGAACAACTGAAAGAACTAAGTACAGAGGAATATGCGAAAAAAGTGTCAGAAAAAGCAGCAGAAGTAGCAAAAATGGAACAAGATGTCATAAATTTGAAAAACCATACTACTCAATATAAAATACTGAAAGATGAAGAGATAAAACAAAAAGCCCTGAAGACATATATGGATAGCGATGAGTATAAAAAAGAAGTTGAAGCAAATGTAAAGGCAGAAAAACTTTTACAGTTGCAAAACCAAACCGTACAGTATGAAAACTTAGCACAAGAAAGTAAAAATAACGACGCGGCTATGCAAAAGGCAATGAAAAAGCGCAGAATATATAAAAGCTAACAATGACTGGTTAGATGCCCAAGCCAACGCTAAAGCAGCCCAACTCATAGGGTCAATAAGGACAAAAATACAAGCGGATGAAGATGGTTCAAATGAAGCTTTAACAAATGCTGACTTTAAGAACGCTTTCGAAGCTCTTCATAGTAAGGTGAAACAAGTGAACGACTTCTCATCTGGAAAGAAACTGAAGTCTGAAGGTTTCGACAAAGAGTTAAAAGAAGTAGCACAAAATATGACGAAAATAACAGATGCAGCAACGAGACAGGCAGTTCAAAGTGCCTATGACGCCGTTAGAGCAAACTGTTGTGAAAAGTCAAGAAAAAGAGTTACAACAGACCAAAACAGACCTAGTAAATGCTTTCTTAAAAACGAAAAGTCAGGTAGGACATTACGCTGCAGATGGAACATATGTGCCAGCTGGTGGAACTTATATACCACCAAACCCTCCAAGAGAAGCACCTGCACCAGGACTACCTAAAACATTTACATCGTCACATGGACACAGACACAGGCATGCACAAAACCAACACAAACCACCTCCACAACCAGCACCACAACCAACAGTTCAAAACACTGCAAGCAACCAACAACAAAAAACAGTTCAAAACCTGCACAACAAAACCACAAACAGAGCAAGGACATAAAAGAAGTAGAGAACAAGGAAACCAAAATTCTTAAAAATGCTTAAAGAAGAGTGTGGTTACCCAGATACTGTTGACTTTAGTGACAGATATAAAGAAGCTATTGAAAGTTCAAGGATGGAAATACTGACCCGAACCTATTTAGCTTTATGGCTCAGCACCAAAACGGGATATAATCTCAAACCTGGAAAATACAAGCTCGCTAAGGATATGATTTAATAGCATATCATCCAAATGACATGATGAATTTACTCCGAGATATTTGATGTCAGAGCTAAATGACAATTCAACTTTCGTCATGAAACGCGTAAAAATAGAGACGGAACGAAAGAACAAAAGCTTATGAATGCGGATGACGTAGATAGGGAACTTGTTGAAAACGGTCTCGGAATATATGAAATGCCAGCAGATGAGGTACAAGAAACTCCACAGGAAGAAGTTCAGATACAAACCAGACATGGAAGAAATAGTTCAGCAACAACAGCTAGAAGAGCCTGAAGGAAACGAACAAGTCCTCCTTTGGAAACTAACTTCACAGAACTAGATGAAGATTTGGAACAGCCGAAAAATCTTGACCCTCAACAAGAGTATGAGGTGAATATGGAATATTTCCAAGAGTCTAAGAAAGATTCGGCTGACATAGTAGAAGAATATCGAAAAATGTTTGCCGACATACAAAAGACTCCAACACCAGATGAAAATATCCAGCATAGAATGGAAGAACTGAAAAAAATGTACACAAATACAACAACCCTTTTTACTTACGAGCATTTAACGTTCAATCTTCGGATGAACTCGGTGAAGATAAAAGGTTAAATTTCAAGAAAAATATAGAAATGAAACATTGTTTAAAGTTCATTCAGAACCTAACCAAGATGGAAACAAACCTACTTTTGTTTCTGCAGACGATGGAACTACAATGAGATGGGGTCATAAAGCTAACCCGGATAGGTGGTTCATAAACTTACAACCACAATTCCAAGAAGTTGTAGACGCAATGGAAGTCAATGGTGAACCAGATATAGCTGGTATTTTAAGCGCGGCTTTAATGCCATTGA